GGTCTGCTCAGTCGCCTTCTCACACGACTCGGCGAGGCTGGCGTCAGGGTCGGACGACAACACCGTCAAGATCTGGGATGCGCATAGCGGGGTGTGCCTGCAGACCCTCATGGGCCATGGTTTTTCTAATCTTGCTCAGATACTAGCGTCACAATACCCCAATAAAGTTATAGACGAAGCACGGAAACCTGCATGCCAGAACATACATATTAGTGACGACGGGGTTTGGATTTGTTTAAACGCTCAAAAGCTATTATGGCTACCTACAGAATATCGACCAGGATGCAAAGCTGTATCAGGCGAATACGTAGGGATAGGCACGGGGCATGGAAAGGTCTGGATAGGTCGCTTCCAGTGACGTGCTAGTGGCAATTCTTCTTTGCTCTCTTTTATCATCATTAAATCGGCACTTCTATAGGGCTGGGGATATGTACATATATATATGCCTCTATCCCTCGCCACATAGAATCTTCGAGCGAGTACTATGTTTCTAGAAAGTAATCCTTTACGCTGCGTGATTGTTTTGATATCACAGTGATATGTTATGATAAGTAACTTAGCTGTCAGGATTAAATGACTGTTGTTTTCCAGCTTGTTAGCATATAAGCCAAATTTATTTAAGTACTCGATCTGTTCCTGTCACTATACTGGTACCTTTTTGGGCACGTGGTGGCCTAGGAGGAGCTGAGCCGGGTATCGTCACAGTTCCTAACGCAAACTGTGTGCTATCAGCGTGCTACATAAACCCTGCACAGCCATAGACTAAGCAATCTAATACACGTGCACGTGTCAAGCCACTAGGTAAGCCTTGCGGACAGCTAGCCCAAATTGGTTGATGCGTCTGCTAGAAGTACGTTCGTGGGTCGCGGCATCAGAGCAATGCGCATATTACGCCTGCTTTAGAGCTAGGTTCGTCCCAAGGATCAGGTGGGAGCCTTGTACTATGCAGGTCCTCAGTCTTATTGGCCCGAGGACTACCCTTCGAGCCTTATATCCAGGTCACGTGATATTCGGTAGCTGTTCCGTTACAGGGCAGTTTCGCTACGTATGGGTATATGTTGATGCATTAGTGCGGATTTTGGGTCTATGCTATTAGGCTAATGAGGATTGCTATCATGGAGCCAAAACCGACTGTCACGTGATCTTTAGCTTGCTGACAGGATCTCGGAGCTTACACAGCCACAGCGTTTCGAAGCCACAAGCTTAGCCCGGAGAATATTACGCCGTAAACGGTCTTATACTAGCCACATACGGAAGCTGCTCGCTGGGAAGTACCAACAGTGGTGGCGATCACACATGAATATGAGCGCCACGCCGCACCAAGACCTGGGATTGACTCCTTAGCATGGCTAAAGCCTTCCTTAGTGCACGCAAATTCATTCGTTAGTATAAGAAGTGCAATGGAGCCTGATGGAGGCTGTCTATAGTAGTGTTATTGCTTGTCTCTAGAAAAGGTGTCTTTTGCGCACCAGCGCGGATGCAACAGCAATAGCGTAATTTTTGTAAGGAAAGGTGTCTACATCTATAGAAGAAGGTAAAAAATATAATTTATCTATAAAAATAGTACAGAAACAACGCGTGAATTGAAATATTGTTTTCTGAGGATGAAGTACCCCTCTTTTCTTGCGGCACGGGGGGATTTGCGTGACCCAGGGAGGGACGTTAGTTGGCCTGTGTAAAGGACGCGTTGCCTCGAGAGGAAAGAAGAGACTCCGCGGGCTAAAGTCCAAAACTTGCCTTTAGAACCGAGGGCTTACCATAGCCGCTTCTTCTTTTTTCCCTTCTAACATGTACTTTATTTAGGTGAGTAAGGAATCAGGTACCGATGTCTTCTTTTTTTTGGCTTTCGGTGCTAGAAAACAAGAGTCATTGTACATGCTTCTTTGGCAACGCCCGCGGAAGTCGGGTAGCCATGGGAGAAGAAAGAGCGAAAAAGAAAGAGGTACCCAATGGCTTGGATCCGCGCCAGGGCGGCGGGATAATCGTCACAGGCAAAGATTCCTTCAAGGTTCGTGCCGTGCTGATGTGTTCCCGGAAGCGCATTACTCTCATTGTATGCATATGTCATGGGGGCGGGGGCCCCGTACCCACTGTTTGCGGTGCGTGAGTCGGTGGCATTCGCGACTATTGCTTCTCCCGGGTTTTCCGAGTAGAATTCCGCCTTGGTTAGTGAGGCCTAAGTGCTAAAAAGTCCAGGTCGAGTTTCACGATGTTTTGGTAGTGTGGACGCGCACGCGACTACTACGGATTTTGTTAGTAGTAGTGAGTAAGTCGTGTGCCGCTTCGGGCCGCGGATATTGTGAAGCGTGGCCATGGGGAAGAGGAAAATAAGGTATGCGTCCGGCAGAAGGGTCCGGGAGAAGGGTCCGGGAGTCCTAGCTCGCGGCTGTGGCTTTCGAATTTGTACGAGGGTCGTAATTGGAGAAGAGCATGTTGATAATAATAATGATAATGATAATAGTGTGAAGGTTAATAAGGAACGGACAAGTGGCACGGCAATTGCCATGTTGCATAATTGGTAAAAAAAAAGCAAGAAAAAACTCTGTATTTTCTGATGTGAGACCTGCTCAATTTGATGCTTCAGGTAAGGTCACAAGCCACACCCTCGAAGGCGTAGACTAGCAAAGTATGAGCCATAATTGGCTCGGAGTTTGGGTGCAGGCCCAATTGTTCGTTGAGGCCCAAAGGTGCGCCGCATGCAAGAGGAATGAGGCGCTCACTTTTCCTGCGGGAACGCTAGCCGTTAGGTGGCGGTGATTGGGACAACAGCTTCATAACGCGGTGTTTAACGATAGAAACCATATACATGTCTTGCTGCCATAGGCCGAGGCACTGCTTAGTGGAGAAAACAAAAACCTGGTTTTGTGATGGTGACATGCTTAAACGTGGCTTATCCAGGGGTCAGGTATCGGCATGGTGGCATACGTACATATGCAAAAGTCCTTCCGCGGTATGAACGACGTGACGAAGCTCTTGAGCAAGCTGCTGGAGATGCATGGTCCATGATAAGCAGTCCATCGTGGACGCTCACACCGCTTGCCGCGGAGCCCGCTTTGACGATGGGCGGCGGAGGTCGGTCTCGAGGTGTTTTGGGATGGATTGACGAAACAGAGTGGACTATTGGCATTTCAGATGGCGCAGTCGTGTTAAGTAATCGGGCTCCCACGTTACGTCGAGGAACTTGGGCTGTCGGGCTCTGTGACATTCACTGGCTTGATGCACTAGACGAGGCTGGCTAGACGTGGCTGGGTCGAGGTAGCATTCATCGACTAATCAAAGGACCGAAGAAAGTCGGAAGGCATGAATCAGGGTAGTGAGTATCATTCTGGGTGGGAACGAGTGGAGACGGGGACATAGTGGGGCGATCTGATGATGTAGTTCAAATCGTGGTGATGCGCGGCATGTGTGTGGGTGCAAGTAAGTCGGGAGGGAGAGCCGGTAAGGCTTGCCCTCCCCTGACGCTGATGCGCGAGTTATTGTTGCTGCTGTTGAACATACCGCCTTATGGGCGGGGCGCATGCCTGTATACCCAGGGACGCAAGGAGGATTGCATCGTGGTTTGGAGGATGCGATGGCTTGCGGACAGATCTAGATGAGATCTGACATGCCCCCACGCTAGTCGAGGTGCCGTCGGGTACAAAGACCGACACCAGTGTATACCCCAGAACCACAATAAGTGCAACCCCCCCCCCCCCCCCGACAACCCTTGACAGGGTGACAGCTGCCCGGAACAATGTTCCGCTGCTCTGGTAGTGGTCGGTCCCAGAAGAATGGGATTCAGTTGCACAACTCCCAAGCATCTACATTGCGTCATCCCCTCTGTCGTACTTTTGATCGCCCGTCACCGCCTAATCGCCGACGTGTTCAACGGAACACGAACCCGATGGTCTCCAATATTGTGCGGGCCGCACTCGTGTGCTCAAGGCCCGTGTTGCGGGGCAAATTTCAGGTACCCAGCCGGCAGATGCAGTGCCAGTTGTTGGATGGTAGTGCAAAATACACGTTCAAGGCAAAGTGATTCCCGACATGACAGCACCACAGAGCCTTGTAGGTTCGGCAAGAAGTGTATAGTTGTTCCAAGGATTTTCATATATGGTGTGGTGCAAAAGGCTACAACACATGACAAGCACATGTGTAAGCCGAGTACATCCTGAAGGACTATCTAACTAGGTACAATGTCCTGGCATGCAGAAAGGCAGCATGGGGCCTGTTGGTGCTTGCTACGAGGTATACGCAGTACCGAGTCTTTGCCCTTGATGAGGTGAAGAATGAGGTATTATATGCGCTTTGTTGCGCAGTAAACGGTGGCTATGAAACCTGTAGTGCACTCTTGCACTATCGATGATGCATTTGTTGCATCAAGCGTAAGACACTCGTACGTACATTAGAAGTGTTGGACAAATCCCGAAAGCGATAGTTCTGGGTCGATCATGGGTGTTTGGAGCGGTCGCGTGCCAGGGTGCGGAGACCATTGGGATTGGTCTTGACGAGGCGTGTCGAGGCAGTTTGTGGGACGTGTGATCTTGGGCAGGCGCAGGGTGATGGGGGCGGAGCCGTATTACTGGTGACAGAGGTCCAGGTGGTAGGTGGTAGGTGGTAGGTGGGAGAGGTCGAGTGAGTGAGTTTGTCGACGTTGCCCAGGATGGATGTGAGTTGAGGACACATGTGCTGGCTAAACCCTGTGAGTAGGGCGACTGGTGAGATGGCCTAGATATATCTTTTGGTCTTCGTCCTCATCCATGAGCAGGTCATCGCCAGGGTAGTCGTTGACATCATCCTCGAGCATCTGAAAAGTCTCTGCATAGGCGCGCGATGGGACAGACTCTGGCGAAACGAGAAGGGAAGCGACGTCCATCTTGATGGATCTCGGGTACAAGTGTTCGTTGGGATCTTGAACGAACCAGCCGACGCTTTGGGTATGGTCGGCCAACTTGACTTGAGGCATGTCGAGGGGAGCGAATCTCTCGGCCAGGATCTTGCGCAGCACACGCTCAACCTGCTCATCCGTAGGGCCATGGGTGAGCTGCTTCTGCTCGAGTCGGAGTATACGCTCGTTCATCTTCCGGAAGCACAGCTCTGTTCTTCGCATAAACTCATGACTGTGATGGTTAGTATGGTTGTTCCATTGTCGGAGGGCAACTGCAGATTACACATACTACCACGATGCGATTCGTTCGAAGGACTGGTTGATCATTTGCAACTGGTAGGAGAAAGACATGGTGGGCTACGAGGACGAGGTGAGAGAGGACGCCAGCTACGTAGCAAGTGAGACACTTTTGAAAGGAAGGGATTTACGGCAAGATGGGAATTAGACTTGAAAGGGTAGTTGTTACGGGACGGAGACGCTAGGGGAAGGGGGGGCAGCAATCGGTCAGACAGGTGGGATGTGTGATATATACGACGAGGGTGGGAGACGGGTGTTCCTTGGGAGGCGGCTCGTGTGGCACATAATGGGCCTGACCTTGGGCATGCAGTAGGGTGGGTAGGGCGCGGCAGGGTCCACTGCTGGCGGGATGGCTTGAGGGTAGGGTTTGGTTGGCCAGGAGGGGGTCGAGGGCGAGGGGCCAATGAGGGAGCGGCTTGTGGACAAGCAGAGAGGATGACCTGAGGGGGGTTTGTTTGGTGGATGGACATGCTCATGCTGGAGGAGTGATGGTAGGTACACAGTAGTGCTAGCGGGCTCAAGGTGCCGGCGGAGATCAGTGGGCAGCTGAGGGTGGTCCGGCTGTCAGGCGGAAGAGCCGTATACGACGGGCCAGGACAGAGACAGGCCGGTCGTCGCGCGGGATGGGGGTGAATGCAGGGGCGTGGCCAGGGCGAGCAGCCCGTCGACGGGATCGACGATGAGGCCTGGGCTACTACGAGTAGCACGTCTGGATGGAGGAGGGGAGAGGGGAGAGGGGAGAGGGGAGGATAGCCACCACCACCACGACGCCGCCGCCACTCTGGAGCAGAGAGGGCCCAGCCACGGCCAATGTTACTCGCAGCAGTAAGTAGCGGCCCAGAGGGACAGCAGCAGCTCGTGGCCACCTCACCGCCGGAGATGCTGCCAGTGCCAGTGCCAGTGCCAGTGCCAGTATGGTCAGTGGGCCAATCTGGGTCATGACTTGAAGCCATGGCCGGGCAGGGCTCGCGCTTCCGTGTGCCTTGGCTAGCGACTCCCCCTCGTTGTAACCTGACCACTGCCAGAGCTAAGCGCGCATCAATTCGCCGAATAGCCTCAAGGCGCCCCGGCAGCCAGCAAGATGCGAGCAAGACCGCTGTCTGACGATGAAATGTCCATGGCAACGGCGTTTCCCGACCGGGCCTCGTCGAGCATGAGCATGAGCATGAGCATGAGCATGAGCATCTGCTGCTTGCTCCACTCCGCTTCACCCGCTACGCCCAAAGTGGCTGCAGCAACAGCATGCGTCTCGGCAGCTCTTCCTATTGCCCGTTACTCACCCCCCGTCTCATCGGTACACGTCCTGCACGCGAAGCGGCCAGACGGCTTCAAACACCTGTTCTCCGCCCTTGGGTCCCTACCTGCTCCTGCTACCGCTACCGCTACCGCTGCCGCTGCCGCTACCGCTACGAGTACTGTCCTTGCCCGAGTCAGCCAGCACGCCTACTGTTGTTGCTGCTGCTGCTGCTGTTACTACTACTGCTACAACATGCTACTTGACAAACCCTTTTCACAAATGCCCATCCCTAAACCCCATGTCGCCCAGCAAACTAACGCCACATTGCTGTGCCTCCAGTCACCAGCCTTTACCCTCGAGCCCTACTTCTTCATCGCCACACACACACACACACACTAGACGAAACCCTCCCTCCCAAACTGGCTTCTCGTCAATCAACCACCACCCAACACCACACATACATACATACATGCATACATACACACACTCGATAAATCATCACCAGCCCCTCTCATCCACCTGCAGCAGCTGCGCCAGTCGAGTGCCGTGCCATGGCATGCCTCTGCCTCGTCTCATATGGCGCCCGATGGCACCAAATCACCATCCATTTCTCCATCTGGTAATCATTGCCTATTGCGCCTTCCGGGCGAAAAGGATCACGCCCAATCCAGCCTAGTCTGCACACCCACATCCCTAACCCGCGCAACCACACCCCACAGCTTGCAACAACTCCTATCAGCGCCGGTTCCATCGGTGATCCAACCACCTGCAACTCCCAAAACATTCTAGAAAGCATCCTCGCCCTCGCCTAGCACTGCCTGCCTGCCTGCCTGTCTGCCCGCCTGCCCGCCTCTGGGTATCCGCCACTCATCCGCCCACGATGCTGTCCTCGCATGCTCCTTCTAGTACAAATCTGACCGTCTTCCTCCATCGACGCTTACTGACAGCAGATCCTGCATGGCCTCATATCGCGACTTTCCGCGCCTTCCGATTCCCCAGTAACGTCAAATCGGACCCATCTCTTGCTCTCACCCCTCTCCATAGCCTCGTTTCTCGCCCACCATGTACGCCAACCAGCATGGCCAGCAAAGTCGCCATAGCCGCCCACCACCAGCACGCACTTTGGCATGCATACGTGACCCCTGCTGATATAATGCACAGCACTGCGTGGCGCAGCTGGACATGTCTCAATACCATGCTCCCACATGACGCAATCTCCAAGCCAGCTTATCGACCCGTTGCTTACAAAACTAGGAGTAGGTCTGTGTCCTCTCACAACTGCTATATTGATGCTGCTGCTGCAAGTCATGCACCCTGACTCCCATAATGGCCCAAAATCCAAGTCTGTGCACTTTCATGGCCTACCCTGGTATGGGCTAATGCAGTTGCCCGAAGTTAGACTTCGCACTTTTTGCAATTTAATTTAGGTCCATATCCCGTCGCATCTTCAGCTGCCTTGCCGTCGATCTACCTAGTACAGCGTATGAAACGGGCAGAGGCTACCAAGGCTCACAGAAGCTATACTTTATTGCCATCAAGGGCACCTCCCCAGCCGTTCAGCTTGTCAAGTGCCCATGTTCCCTCGGTGGATTAGCAACTTGAGGCGTCATCCTGTGCGCATGGTCAGGCAGCACCTGGTATGACTACCACAAGTCGGATGCCCACTTTACTTCCCCGGATGGAATCCAATATATTTTGATTTCGCATTTTTTCCCATTTTACGCCGAAAGAAACCCCCCACCCCAAATGGCCTCGTATTCCTCACGAGCCCTCTGCAAATTCTGGTTAGGCTTGATACGGTTTACCTCGGTTCATTGCCTGGTGGTGTCGTGCAGGAGAGATCCGGGGAAGCGTGCTCTGCGTCGCTTACCAACGACTGCGCCACTATCAATGCCAAACTGCCGCGACAAACATCATGCTATTCCCAAGAGAACGTCGGGAGTATGATCCCGCACTACTTCTCCCTGCACGGACGTCGCGAAGTTTCCATCAAAGTTCCTGCACCTTAGCCGGCGGCCGATACAGGGATGCTGAATCCTACCCACTCCCTGTCTCTAATATGTAAAAAGTCCATGTTTGCCTATCAAAATTGATCCCCGGAGGATCAACACCATGGGCCTGATTCCACTACTGACTCGTACCTCTCAGCTGATAGGGTAAAGTACAGACCTGCCACTTTGACTACTTGGGTTAACTGAACGTCGCCTTTGCAGCCAAGTGTCTGAGCGAATAAGAGAAAAAAAAATAACATACGATAGTACCTAAACTTTAACACCGTCGGTGAAATCAGAGTGGATTGTCTCACCTGTCTAAAAATATAGTACACAAGTGCTTAGTATTTATCACTACATGTGCTTGCACAAACATTTGTACTCCCTTACATGTCCATGATCTTGGGCACAGATGCTGTCAATATCTCACTCCAACCCCGATCAGGCACCTTCTCCTATGGGAAAGAGACTCTGTGCATACTGCAAGCCCACGGTCCGGGCTCATGCTGACTACCGACTTTGCGTCTGACTTGCAGCTCCCTCACTAGACGCATCGCGAGCTGACCGAGAACAAGAAGAAGAAGAAGAAGACGGGAAAAAAAATCGCTCATAGAGAGCCCTCTGAAACACGGTGTGTGATCAAGCACAGATAACAGAAACAGGAATGAAAAAAAAAGGGGGGGGGAGGGAAGAGTGTGACTTTTTTGTCACAACAAACGAAAAAGGTCCTTCGGGCGTAGCACTTCATCGGTGTGTTTCCTCAAACCATGTATATTACATACTACCAGACAAGTCTCACACAAGTCACACAAAGCAAAACCCCCTCCCCCAATTTGCCCACGTTCCCTCCCCTTTTTTCACTCCAACAACTCTATCGCATCGAGAATGACATTGGGAGCCAAGAAGCCTGTCCCAGACTCACCGCTCAAACAGCTGATACGAATCGTATTGGCGCCCTCGACCAGCGTACCAGCAGGGATAGCGTAATCGTACACCTCGCCAAACCCACGGTACGCGCCTCGCGTGAAACCCCGCGACGCAATCTTTGTCGGCGCCGCAGGCACGGCGGGACTGAAATTAGTATTCAGCGTCACAGCGGGACGGCAGCCGGCAAAGGCGAGGGTAGTGCCCACACGCAGGCTAAGTGCCGCCGTGTTCTTTTGCTTGGAGGTGAAGTTGATGGTGAGGGGGTTGAGGTCCTTGACGAGGGCCATGGGCACGCTGTCGAGGGTGCTGGTGCCCACGGTGTAGGTGAGGGGGACCCAGGGCGCCATGCGCGAATCAGAGGGATGCATGCGGAGTTGCTTGTCTGCGTTGCGGAAGCCCTTGGGCTGGCCGTCCCATTCGCCGATGCGCCACAGCGAGGTTTTGGGCTCGGTATCGGCGGCTATGTTGGCCGTTGTCGTGCTGCCAGCTGTTACCATGACACTGATGGCTTTTACTTTGAATTCGCCTTGGTATAGGACTTGAGTGTAAGTCCCCGGTTTCATGGCGGGGGAGGTGAAGGTTCCAGAAGAAGAAGAGGCGTAGGCCCAGTATTGGGCTGCGTCGTTGTACCAGTGGACGACTGCTTGGGCGGTTGAGCTTACCCCTGTTGCTTTTCCTGTCACTGTGCCTCGGGCTGAAGGGGGAACGTAGTTGGGGATCGAGAGGTCCTTGAAGAATGTCGTATCCATGCTTGAGCCCCCCTTGGGGATATCAGACCGGCTAAAGGAAAGGGCATACGGACCCTTCATCCCCATACGATACTTTTCCAACTGAACATGATTACTGTTCATGTAGAACGTCAGAGAATTCGCCGGACCCGCATTATTAGTATTGATATCGCGATGAAAAGGTCCACCGGCCGACGTCTCATACGAATACGAATCCATCAGCAAACAGACATGAATCGGATTGGTATCCCGATACACACAGTGCTAAAAAAAATAATCTTTGTCAGCCCCCCCTTCCCTTGCATCTCAACCTTTCAACTTCAAGAAAGTAGTAACAATTGTTGTTGTTGGTTTTTTTTTCTTCTTGAAAAGGGAAAACTTACCACAGCATCATCAATAAACCTCTCACTCGAGTAAAACTTACTCCTCGTCTCCCCGTCGGCCACCAAAAAAACATCCTCGCCTTCGACCGTCCCCGTCGCATTCGCCGTCGTAGACACGATCCCAAACGGCCAACTCAGCCCCACTTTGGCACTATCCAGCCGCGCTATAAACCGCAACTCGCCAATCTCAGGCTCCGCAGTAATGTCCGTCGCCATGTAGATGGTCGCCTCTCCGGCTTTGGCAACAATGTACTGCGTGAGTGTAGGCGTCGTGCATGTTACCTTGATGTAACTGGTGCCGATGATGTCGTAGCTGACGGTGGCGGAACCGAGGCCAGAAGCAATGTGCGAGCCCTTTGTGGGGGATTGAAGCTCCTCGCCGGCGTAGTTGAGGGATGTGATGTCACAGGATGTGGTGGAGACTGTGAAGAGGAAAGGGGCTGTGGAGCCGGAATCGATGGTTATGCTGTCTTTGGTTTTGTTGACGCCGAAGGCGGCGAGGGTTGGGGTCGTGAGGGTGGTGAGGGCGAGGAGGAGGGTGGCGGTGGTGGTGGTGGTGGTTGTGTAGAGGTACATTGTTGAGGTATGTAGAACCCTCTTGGGAGTTTTAGCGATGGATGAATGGGCAAATGGAAGGAGTGTAGAATTGAATATAGACAGTTGGAAAAGAAAGTTAGGGATGTAAGATAATGCAATCTGTACTTACAGATTCCCGATTGAACAGGAATAAGTTGAGCAAATAATTTACAGGGCATCCCTTCCTCCATATAGGGTACAAATCGCAGATGCCCTTTCCCTAGCCCCTCTCCCCTCCCCGCACGTGCGCGAAACAAACCCTCCACCCAGACCCCAGCCTTGCCATTGTTCAATCTCCCCCTCAATTTCCTATCTCAGTAAATATACATACACCATGACTTGGGGAAGAGGAGGAGAGGGAAGATCCCTACTTTCGGTGCTTACGGACCAGGGGGTGGGAACGAGTCAAAACAACCGAGATGAACGACTTATCGAAATCTCTCTCTCTCTTACATGCACGTTCCGAGAAAAAAATCTCACCATTTCTTTTTTTTTTGCGCCCGTTCAACGACACACTACTAGAGAAGGGTTGGACTGGCATCCTGCGTTTCAGTTTAGGGGCGCGTCTGGTGTTAGAAGGCTATTGTATATAGGTCGTGGAATTGATGGGGGGGTTCAACGGGTGTTTTTTCTTTTCTTTTTTGCCTAAGCTCAAATAACCGGTGACTTTGAGATACTCACTCCACCCCAGATAATAAGATACACCATATCGTTCTTGATGCACAACAAGCAATGGCGAAGCTTTCGCCTTGCTGCGATTAAGCTTTTCTTTTCACCTCGAAACGAATACAGGGAAAGAGCTTCGGGGCCACCGGTTTGGTATAAATGAACGGGCTAACTAGCTTATTATGTTGATATTAGTGGTGGAAGATCTGATCTGCGAACAAGGGAGGCAAGGAAACAAAGCAGTTAGGACTGTGACCGCTATTCTTTAGCCGCGGCCTTTTATTTCAGCAGGTGTGTGAATAATGACATTTCTCCGCGATGGCTTTCGGTTTGCCGTTAGTTAGTCCGTTTCAGGGTAAGATTGCGAGGGAATTCGGAATAGACGATGTCATGTCACTGTCCTCGTGAAACAACAAATACTTTATTCTTAGCGACGTAAGAAACAGTATGAAATTAATAGCGCATCGTGTGCAAAAGAGCGCTGTTGTCGCTTAATCCTCACCTGCAGGACAATCGTTCTTGTATAATGCACTGAGCGACACCTGTCGACACCACAGCGCCCATGGTCTGGCAAGCGTACCGGACATGGCTTCCCAGGCGTCATGACACTCCCTGTCACTCAAATATTTCAAGTTGCCGCCTTCGGCCTTTGCATGGCCAGACTTGATTTTCCCACCAGCGTCAACATCAACCTTGCCCTCGAGCGCGTATCCGGTGTGCGCATTCTGTATCGTCATGGCTGCTGTTTGCGCCTTTGCAGCCTCCCTGGTGTATATGGCCTGGTATACAGCCTCCTCAATACCATGCGCGACAGTCACAAATCCATGGCCTTGCATAAGAACGACCGCATGATCAGGTTCCAGTTGAGGCTCCGAAGACGCACCGCCTAGCTGCGATGGTAGCGCCGAGCGGACCTTGGAATAGATAAAGCCAGTCGAAGTCGCAGGTTTGAATGTCGCGGCAAGAGAAGCTCCCAGCGTAGCGTTGCTCACAAGCAGACTATGTTTTGAGCCCGATGGATAGCTGCTCGAGGCATCCCATACAGGGACCGTTGATCCTGTTTATTACCAGAATTAGCATTCTGACAGTCCATGAGTCTTTTTCTCAAGGAAAGAGCAAAATTTACCCAAGAAACCAGCCATATGAATGGTATTCTTCAACGGCACCCCGCTGATGCAATAAGGAAGCACATCGCCTGCATGGCTATGGACTACACTGTTGATGGCTGGGAATCGCTTGTAAATCTCACTATGAATGTATCGCTCTAGGTACCCGGGCTTTGCATCTTTCTCGACCGCTTCAGCGCTGTCAACGTGGTACTCGACTAGATCTTCTGGCGTGCTAATTAGCGCCGGTGACATGTTGCATGGCATCCAGAATGTCGCAGGGTTATCCGGAGAGCGCACGGAAATGTGCCCGTATGCGTCAACAAGGCCATGGTGGTCGAGGATGTGGCTTGCTGTGACTAGCCCTCTGAAGAGATCTTCAAGGCCGACCTTTTCGCGTTTTGGGTAGTATCCAGCTGACATTTTTGGCGAGTTGCAGGTGGAGTCTTCGACATGATGAGCAGCGGGGGTCGAGGCATGTCGTTGGTTTTGCGGTGCCTGTTTGCGATGCCCGATGACGTATGTTCCCCACGTCCTAGGATGGTGAGGGAAACGACTGGATAGGATGTAATCGGGCGGGGGTGGAAGCTTGCTGGACCCTGAGCAACGACATACGATCACATCCTTGACTTGGCACTTTACTTACCTGCAGGAACGCCCAACTGCAATGCCCAAGTAACATATCCTGTCGGCTCTCGTCATTATTGCGTCTGCCGAGAACGATTAGCATCTTCCGTTCCCCGTCTACAGATGATGTTACATGTAGCTTGTGCATGGATCGGTCACAGCTGAACGATACCCATGGCTAGGGAAAGAGCTGCAACTAAAGTTACTTTTCCAGAAATGAAGAGTGGGCATCTTCTTGTTCTACTTACGTTTTAATGAACGGCTTTCTGCGACTGAGTTGGAACCGTTCTACTAAAATTCGTTGCCCCTTCAGACAGGCTCATCAGGCTTGCAGTGTCTTGCGTTGAGCAGTTTATTCAGACGCCATATCGTTTTCAAATAACTGCTTCAATAGGAAAAAAATAATCAATAGAAAACCTGTAAATGTCTCTTGGATACATGGTCAGCATAGGCAAATTGACGTGGCATATCAAGCCCAGGAATTACTACCCCTATGGAGGGGAGTAGCTCCCGGCAATGGTAGTTCATGTGATCTTCGTATTAGACAACTGGTCTCTTACAAGAAGATAGCAGCACAGATATACAGTGTAGGCACACGCCCTAGTCTTACCCAACGCAAGTTTAGCAATAAAAGAGATGATACCGAAGGCGCTTGGAAAGCAGTGTTCAGATGTAAGATAACCCTCAGAGCGCAAAATTTCGATGCGCAATCGTGGAGGCTATCCATTGACCCCTGGGTATCATATCGAGCCTAAGTGTGCAATTGTCAGGATACTGTTCAAGAGTGGAGAGGAAGTGGAGACAGTCAGATTCGTTTCGTTGTTGGCGTACAAACCCATGAAGGACTCTTTTCTTTTCTTTTGCGTGTGTCATACTAGTGAGCAGAGAGTTTTCCTGCTAGTACCTTGTGAAGTAGCAAAACTACTGTACATTAACATCACGTTCATCCATACAAGTTGTTCTCGTCGACGCCTACGCGTCCTGCCCAGTCTTCCCCAACATACCATCATCTTACCACTGATGTTTCTTTAGACCGTCGAGTAGAGCTCATCAAGGTTCAGTCTCGTACGGGAGCTGTAGGGGGGGTATCAAACAAACAGATGACCTGAAGCGGGCGCTTGAGGGCTTGTGTCGAATGGATGATTGCGTAATGTCGTTTCCTTGGTCGGCGACAGACCGTGATACCTAGTGGCATTGCAGCGTACAGTCCGGCTGTAGCTCGACCACTGTTGGCGCAGTCGTAGTTCTGCCGGTCTCGGCTGCGAGCAGCAATTTCCGGGAGGAACCGTCAGCCGCATGATCCACCGGCAGCCACCACCTTGCGCAGATTATTTTCTTTTTCCCGTAGACGACCTGGTTCCTGGTTCCTGGTGCGTGGTAATGGTCTTGGCGGTCTGCACGACTCCAATCTCTAGCCTTTAGCTCCCACCATCGTTCCAACATGCGCCGTCTTCCACCCTCTTGACATCTCCAGGTGCCCGGCAAGACTGCTCTTGGTTGCTCCAATCTTTCTTCTGCAGCATCATCACCATCAGCCCATGTCTACGTCGACGTCAGCATCGCCCTCGCCCTCGCCGTCGTTGGTGGCATCTATCAGTTCGCTCTCTCCACTCTCTCCACTTGTCTCTTCGCTATCGCTGTCCTCGTCAACGATTTTGCCCTCGACTTCACATTTTCTTGCAAAGCAGCACCCTTCCTTCTCGTCCTTTGCACCAATACCTATACCGACGTACATGCCCTGCTTGACCTCTTCGATGATCTTGTCAATGTCGACAGTGCATCCACTATCGTTGTCGTAGATTATCTTCTTAGCGCGGCTGTTGGCTGCCGACTTGGTCGAGTGCACGGAGATGATGTGCGTGCTGCCAATATTGGCCTCGAGACTCTGGGCAGTCGGGTAGCAAGTGTCGGTAACAATGTAGATGATGTGGGGGCCGGATGGCGAGTTTGTCATTCTCGTGGGCGCCCTGGTGGACAGCGGGGGTGGTATCTCGATACTTTGTTGAACGTACGAGTCGCCAATGTTGTGGGTATGGGGCGTGGGCGTTGGACCGTCTTTGGCGTCGATGCAGTGTGGACAGTAGTGGCTGCTGGCCTCGGACGCTGTGCTGGACGTCTGGCGTGCGTTGGGCGCCATGGCTGCTGCTGACTGATAGCGGTAGGGTGGGGGTGGGCAGTGGGATGACAAGGTCGAGGATGGGTGTAGAAGTAAAAGGGACTGCAGCAAAGCAAATAAAAAAAATTGAGGATCAAAAGAAGGTTGCTAGGATAATAAGAAAAGATGAGGACAAGAGAAGCCCCTGCTTGAGTGCAGCCGTTGGAGGGCAGCAAAAGCGAGGGTGCCGGTGTGTCGGTTGGGCAATTGCAAAATTCACGATGCTGTGCACATGGGATTTTGCACAAACCGGGGAGGGGTTTTGGAAATCATCGATGCGCGGCTAGACCGCATTGTTTAATTTATAGTCTGGCGCAGTTTCCTGCGTGTAGCCTTGAGCTCGTCTCCGCGGAGGACTGGCAGTTGAGGGAGAGAAGGAAAAAAAAGAGAGTAAGACGATGGTGAGGGAAGCAGAGAGAAGAAGAGAGCAGAGGCTGGAGAGTTGTGCATTTCTAAGCTCACCTGTTCTGCCCTCGTCGTGGTGGTGCGACTCTCCGTGTGGCTATTCTCGCGAGGATCTTCAGGTCTTGCGACAAGTACTCGCATGTTTTTTTTGTCGCCACCCAGCGACCCAAGTCCATCGTATCCAAGCATGGCCATTGGGTGGAACGTTCCAGATTTTTCTTTTCTTCTCCAGTCTCTTTTGGCAATCTCTTCTTTCGCGCCGATTACACGGCCAGATTTGGGCGGTCCGGGCGCGTGGGAGGTGGTCCTGAGCATTGCGTGTGCAATGGCAGGCGGTGGCGGCGGTGCTACTCCCTGCTGCCCCGACCGACTCCGCCGTTGCCACCAAGGGAGGTGGAAAGAGAGAGGTGTGGAATGCAAGGGAGTGGAGTGGAGTGGACAAGGCATGGCATGGAGCGGGACGCAAGAACAAAACTGTCGTGAACGGCCTTTTTTCTTGTTTTGCACCGTCTGCGCAGCAGCGATCGACTAGGATCTAGATTGGAGATCGCCTCGTCCTCTTCCGATCCCCCGCCGCCCTTCTCCCTCCACTCGACCCGTTGCCCTGAGCCCGACTGTTCTGGCCCATCAAAGAGCCCTATGGGGTGGTTCTGAGGACGGCGGACGACACAGGCCTCAGCCACGCGCTGCTTGGCCCGGGTCTGATTGGTGCGGGACGTGTGGCGTCGGCGAGAGTGAGAGGTGAAGCCGTGCTGGTGGCGTATCTCGTGTAACTAATAATGCTAAGTATGCCAGAGACGCAATCGGACCCTGCATCGTTGCCCAACGCCCATCTCCCAGGTGCATGCACATGTCCCAGTGCACACAAGCACCTCATTGCGGCCCGGCTGCTGTGAATACGTATGTGGCGCCAACTTGGCCATGCGACTGACAGAAAATGCTCCGTCACGTCTATCCGGCTGTTCCTTCCGAGGCATGTCTGTACATGGCCGTGCTGCTCCGCAAAGTCAACCACCATCCTCATCTTGCACGCTTATCCAAGGTCATGTGGACACTCCGCCCCCTCACCCTGGCACTCTACACGTACACCACTACTCGACACTTACTTGCCTGCGCCACACTTTGAGCATGCATCATCACAGCACCCCTTCTCCCTGCCAACATGCACCTGTTCAAAAACACATTATAGATAATCATACAGATGAAGCCTACTCCACTCTGCCGTTATACTTGTGCCCCCGTGTGCCATACAAAACCTAGCGCCGCCCGCCCTACACGCTGCTAATACATGTCCCTCCCTATACTAAAAGAAAAAAAAGAGAGAGGGAGGTACAACTGACTGCCACACAGGCGCCATGCCAACAAGAATAAAACTTCTTACTCCGCCTCTTGTGTTGCCCTCTTGGCCTCGCTAGCAGGCTGGGCCTCCTCTTGACGCTCCGCAATGCTCTTCTCTTTTTCTTGGTCCTCAGCCACTTCCACAGTCGGCGGCACCTCACTAGCCTCAACTGCCGCACCTTGCTCCCGGGTTTCTGGATTTTGGCCCTCGACATCAGGGTGAGGAGGCGCAACACCATGTTCCTCGGCCTCGTCGTGCGACTCAACTAGCTCATCGAAAACCTCGTTGCCTTCGTCATCAATAAGGCGCGTCCGCGTCTCATAGCGCGTCTTGAAGCTAACCTTGCCCTTGAGCGCTTCCACCTCTGCATCGTCCAGGACGCGGCCCTTTTCGTCGCGATACTCGACACGCTCTTCCTTCGCAATAATAGGCATGTCCTGAGGAGGCTCCTGGGGTGCGGCCGAAACAGCTGCTTCATCGACGATGCCTTCCTGCTTGACCAGTTCCGGCTGCTGTTTTGGCTGTTCGGGCTGGACATTGAGCACGGGCGGTGCAGGCGGCGCTGATGACGGCACAGCTGCTGATGCTAGAGGTTCACTCTGGCTATATGCTTCGTACTGTACACTGTCAGATTGAACTCATCATACCACGTCCAATTAACCTACCGAAGTGAGGAAGTTGTTGCACTCCCAGTCCCAGCTGTTGAAAAGCTTGACACTGTTGCATGCATCCTTAGTCCATGGGTTGCCGTATGCAAGCGGTGAGAAAATTGAAAAGACCATAATGGCAACCGCCAGGAAGCCGACGGCTGCTGCTTGGCCAATAGCAGGATATTCCCTGAGTCCAAACACGCTGAACCGGTAGCTTACGAAATCAAAGATCTGGCAAAGCGCAAGAATGGCAAAGTACAGGGCCGGAAGGTAGTGATGCAAGAACAATTGACGCGCCATTAGATAGAAAGGGAAGTAGTGGAACGCCCATCCTAGGATGCTCATGCCCACTTCATAGTCGAAACGCTTGAACACAACGTTGTTGTAGTCGCTGTAGCCACGCTGCCACCGGAGAATGGCAATGCCCTTGATAGCAACGTAGAGAGCAATTAGCGCTGTAGAGCTCCACCAAATGACAGGATTTCCAATAAGGTAGATTTGGCGGTGGTGTTTGCCCCAGAAGTTGATGCCTCGGCGGAGGATAGGCCATGAGGGAGGACGAGAATCCCAGGCGTGTGACTCCGTCAGACCAGCGTTTGTCTTCCACATGACCTTTTGCAACTCCCAGAACTTCCCAAAGAATCCAGGATTGCGGTAGTTGACCTTCTCCACTTCCCCATCTACCATTAGTGGATGCACGTTGCCCTCAATGTACCAGATGCTGTTGGGCAGGGTACCTTGCTTGGCACACGTAACCTCTTGTTGCTCGAAGCCCCACTCGGGAAGTTTCACCTTGTGAGAGAACAGTGCGCAGCCAGTCATCACATGGATCAGCCTAAATTTGGACTGAATGGTACGAAGGCGCTTCTTGGCCTCAGCTCCATCTGACTTGCTCGGAAGAATCTCAACGCGGAAGAGGTCGTTCGCGTCGCCTTCAAAACCCTGGTACCCATACGCAGAGACTTCGTTCTGCCAGTCTGCTTCGGTAACAGGCGGGCGAACATCGTGAGAGTGGAGACGTCGGTCGGTAGTAATGTGGTAGAGACGAATGATGGCGCCGTTTTCAATATGAAAGGGGCCTACGCCGTCCCAGGCTTTCGGACTAGTCAAATTAGGACCATTGTAGTCTTCCGGCATAATTGGCAGGGTCTGGTTTTCCAAGATCCAAATATTGTTCTCGTCCTTGTGAGGATAGAGAGTGATCTGTTGTTGCTTGCTTCCGGTAGGGTACATGTGGCTGTGAGAATGAAGATATCCGCCCTGCGTGTTCCAATGGCGTAGAGAGACGCGGCTTCCATACGCGACATCTGCCGGTACGTCTTGCATGCCCTTAGAGTTCAAAGTTGCCTGGAACTCAGAGGACATGAACCCATCACCCTCGCCAGGATTAACAAGGCAGAGGAAGTGAATTCCAAACATGGCCATGTAGAAGGAGACAGGAATGATAACCAAGCAAAACAGACGTGCAAAGAAGTGCTTGAACCACAGCCTCGGTGTTACGTTCTTGTAGTCTCCAAGTAGAACCCATAGTTGGACGAGTGTCAAACTGCCGACCCAAGCGATGGTGAAAAGGCCAACCCACTTGACGCTGACAGTTGCACCAAGCCCAATACCGGTAGCAGCCAGCCAGAACCACCACAATGGCTTGAAGGCCTTGGCGGGTCCCTGTTCGTGTTGGTTCATGAAGCAGGTCCATGAGAGCGCGGTAAGGGCAGTGAAGATGATGAGTGGAGAGTCGAGCAAGATGAGGCGAGACTGGGTGACGAGAGCATTGTCTTGAAAAGGTCAGCATCAGGTGCAACAGCGTCTACAATTGGCATCTTACCGAAAATGACGAGACCTGCACCCAACGCTGCTGTTGTGGTACGACATCCAGCAGCCTTTAGGGTCAGGAACATGGTCGGAATGGTCAAGACACCGCAGATGGCGGGCAACAAGCGCATAGTGACGTAGGGAACATTTGGCTCAAGGTAGTCCTTGCCAATGTCCTTGAAGTCAAAGTTTCCGTCAAATCCGCCCAACCATCCGGCCAGTGTAATGAGAAGCTTCGCAAGCGGCGGGTGGACATCCATGAAGAACCTGCCCTTGATGTATTTCGAGGCGAATCCACCGAAGCTACAATGACCCTGTTAGTCCCCATTCACAAAAATCATATCAACAAGAATGACTTACTGGACCTCGTCAAAGACAACACTGGTCGGCTGTTGGATCCTGAAGAGCCTTACAGCAGTTGCAATGGCGATCAGTACGGCTAGCAACGACCAGTCGGAGCCCGGGAGGCTGAAGATATCATTGTCCTTCACACCCTCGGAGGCGTAACTTCGAACTTTCTGCTGGGACTGCTGCTTTCTGTTCCGCGATCGTGATCGGGACTTTGATCTACCGGAACGGCGCGATGAGGGCTTCTCGCCCAGATAGGCATTGGATGCCGAAAGGCTCGCCATGGCGGCGGCGTACTGCGTAGGTGCTGCGTGGCCCGACTAAGGTGGGAGGTGGTGATGAGGGTCGGGGGAACCTTGCAGCGCTTCTACTGTAGCGTAGGC